ATGTGATAAACTAAGTATCACTAACATCTCTCTATATTATCTTGGTTGACAAGTTTGAGAAAGTTACAAAAATAATTTACTCCATTAAAATCATTTATTTTCCATTTTTTTCTAAATTACCGTCCTTTCTTTGTACTCAAAATTGCACGGTTGAAGGCCATTCACAATATGAAGAATGCGTGGAGCTTTTCAAAAATAATCTTGCATTCAAAGGTTAATTTAATTTTATATAAATGTAAAGTTCATTGCCTGCCACATGCAAAGCAAAGTAGTTTATAATGCAGTATAGTTAAGACGGCAAGAACATCTAACAATAGAGCAGTGAAAATAACGATAAGATAATAATTTTGTGAAATTACTTTTATTTAATATTTTTCGCGCATCGCACGGGTACGTATACTAGTAATAAAGAACATTAGCATATTGGTAAAAAGTTGCGCCGGAGACAAATACTTCTATAGATTTCCTTATAGAGATTATGTTGAAATATAAAAATGTTACACAAACATTTAAAAAGTTATTATACGTTTGTTACCAAATTCTAAAGATGTATATAATTTATTACTGTCCTGAAGAATGACTGGTGCTATTCCAAGCTTCAACTCATTCTGCTTCCATCTTCAAAATGGATAATAAAAGCTCATTCCATGTATCAACAGGGCCTGGCATACACCAATGCACACAATCAGCTAATTTCTTCTCATTTGGCCAATGTCCATAATTATTTGGATGCCCATCTGGCCTCAGTAACATTGCTTCAGTTGTATCTAACAATCGAAACTTGACACCCTTTTTCTTGCCTTCCTTTTGTGCTGCCTTAAATTCCTGCAATTGAGTCAAATACATTTGTAATGTATATCCATCCAACTTAATATCTTGATTCGTAAAGGGTCTTGTTCTATTGCAATTCCCTCCTTTATTCCATTCCCCGTTCTCAAAATGTTGAGGGGAGAATGGCCTTAGTATTACCAATCGACTCTTTAGTTTCTTGAGGCTTAAAAGTGTCTTAAAAGCTGTACGAAACGCCATTCTGTATCCATAATAATGGCTAAGTTTTGTGGTGTTTTTTTCATTGCATTTGTGACATCCGATGAGCTGACCGTTTTCGTAGTACAAAAATGGCCTAAAGAACCATTGTCCTCCGGAGATTATGATAATATGAGCTTTGTCAACTTGACTTGCCCAGACATCATCGGCCTTGTCTAGATACAGATCCATGAGACTGTTGTAGGAATAGCCATTAGGATCAGATTCATAGGATTTAATCAACTGTGGAGACCATAGGGCTATGATTGTGAAGTTGTAATCTTTAAACAACCATCGCCTGAATCTCGTGTCCTTAGTCTCTGATACGTCTACAGGAATGGCCGCCTGAAATATGGCACAAGATATTTTGATCAGAAAGAATGTATAAAAAAAAAAAAAGGCAGCCAGTGCACTAAGCTCCGGCTATGTGCGAAGTCCGGGGAAGGGCCGGACCACAAGGGTCTATTGTACTCAAAGCCTTACCCTGCATTTCTGCAAGAGGTTGTTTCTACGGCTTGAACCCGTGATCTCCTGGTCACATGGCAACAACTTTACCAGTTACGCCAAGGCTCCCCTTCTATCAGAAAGAATGTAGAAATATAAAAAAAAAAAAAATGAAAAAACTGCTGTGATTTTGTGAATAAACTTTGATTTTGCCAATTCTCATATCATTATTATGGAATTTAACCGTTAAACATTTAGCATTTCCTATAAGAACAGGTGATTATTTATAGCAGGTCTAATTTGGTAACCTGGAATAGGGAAGGATACGTACTGACAATGTAAAAGTTTGTTACATTGTTAGCGTATATAAGTTAAATCATTTATAAATTGTCGATTCGACATGGCTACACCAGTAAAAGAGTATATTGAATAAAGTTTAATGAAAATATAAAGTCAGTAAATGAGGAATTAAATTCAGGATTAGCTGAAAACAGAGTAATGGAAGCACAAACGGTCCTGATGTACTCAAAGAAGAAGACTTACACTAGCTAGAAGGCACACCAGTGACTGCATCTGGTTTCTTGCTAGCGAGTCTCCAACGAAAGCCAAAGTTTTACCACGTACAAGTTCCAAAAATTGCATAGCATCAAATAGTGGCAGCTCACAATCATCTGGTTTCCATCTCCAGTGTATAAAATCACGATCCAGTCTTCCAAATTTCATGCAATTTTGTCGATCATCGATCGCGCAGTTTGTCTCATTTGTATAGTATGGCCCATATGGAAATGGTATCCACTTCCCCTCAAAGAGGTTGCATGTTTGCTGCTTTATCCCTACTTTTTCTGAATGATTAATGCTTGTAATTCCAACAGACTGCAGTTGGGTGATTGCCTCATGTTTTTGCTGATCAAAAGGGACTGATTTATTGAGGGTTGATTCAAGATTTTGCAGCAAAGAATCAGTGGTAGTATTATATGAAGAAAAGGTGATTTTGACTAGGAGTACTAATGTTAAGATTGGTAGTACAACTTTTCTAAAGCTTTCCAACAGCATATGCAAGTTCTTCCACTTCATCTGCAAATAACGTTTTCCAAGATCAAAATTTTGTGAGCAATTTATCTACTAGCTAGTACTAGGAAAATCAATCATAGAAAAAGCTACTTTTACTGTATACGTTTGGTATTATGGGCTAAATGATTAATTATCTTGGTGGATTCTTTCAAACTTGACTAATATACTTGTTTTTGAATCTAATAAGCAGCACATCATACATGAAGCAAAGTCGCTTATTATTCAAAGGAAAAAAGAAAATAAACATTACCTTATATGGTTCAATAAACAACGAAAACTACTAAATCCTTTGAAAGTTATTCTCAAAGATTGAAATTATAGTCTGTACAATATAAATATATTGCGACCCAGCACTTCAAGCTAGACTGATATTATTGCCACTAAGATTTATCTGATTGTTTTAACACAATCTACTGTCACTGCCATGAAAAAAAAATAGTATAGAGGTGGCAAAATTGTTAAAATAAAAAGCAGTTATCCATCCATATTACCTATTTTAAAATAGGTTGGATGATGAACTTTTTAAAAACGGGTCGAATATGGATAAAAGTCATATTATACACTTAGAAAATGGTTAAACAAATAGATAACCAATGAATAACTAATGTGTTTAACTTTTATATATGTAAAGTCTCAAATTGGGAGTTCTCAAGTTTGGGAGAGTAGGAATTCTGCCATAAGAGATAATATTGAAGAATCCATGGATAATATGGATATCCATATTATCTGCCGGACAACCTGTTTTTTATCCGTTTTAAATACGGGGCGGGCCAGATAATTTATCTGTTTTCGACCCGCTCATATCCGACCCGACCCGTTTGCCACCCCTATAGTACATTCGAAATCTTATGTAAACATGTTTGACTAAACGATCGATCGTCCTAGGTTCACATGAGACCTATTACTATCATTCATAAAAGTGATTCAAAAACTTAATTTACTCTGTTGGATAGTAAGAGTTACTCCCTTTTAATTAATTGGACAATGATTATGTTATCCATTTTCAATAACTTGCAGAGGAAAAAGGTGAAAGAGTTTGTTGGAGAATTAAAACATGGCGTAGCTTGGTGGCAATTAGCTGAATGATGAGGACTTTGCATTGCTTTTATCTCCTTCTTATTTATGCACCATTTTTGCCTTTTTAGTACACAGCTTCACGTGTGATCCGCCTTTGATAAAAATAGTTTCCTTGAATTTCAAATTTCAAACTTTTAGTTACTCTTCTCATACATTGACCAACCACTTGAAAAGAACATACTAGTAATACAATCAAGCAAAATTATTATACTCCGTCGTTATGTTCTGAACACATGAAAGAGCGGTAACAAAGAGAACTCAAAATTTAGAAACTAACATAAAAGAATAAGTAAGAGTTGGAAATTTGTGTTTTTTTTTAATTCAAATAGTTTTGATTATGATTTATGAACAACCTTGATATTCTCTTTCAGAGTGGACAAAAATACCAATTGAGTGGATTTAGCAATCTCTGGATATAGTATAGTTTATGAATCATGAGATAGAAGATAGAATTACTTTTTCTTGTCCGTGAGTTTAAAAGACAAATTGTTTGAAAAGACACATAGATCAAACTAATAATTCATTTTCCCCAAATATGGCTATTTCACATATTTAATCTAAAAATAGGGAAACTCAACTAGGTAACAGAGCTTTAAAATAAAAAATAAAAAAATTTGAAACACTGCAAATTCGAGTTTTAGCCTCATGGCGACTTGCCTTTCCTTGGAGGGGCCTGCTTCTATACCAAGATTACATTTTAAATTGACGCTAAATTGTGGCATTTTGCAGGCTAAAATTTCCAAGCTTATCTAGATCTCCGACCTGAACTTGTAATGGATCATCAGTGCGTGATGGCTATGTTGGTAAAATTTGTGTTCGAAACCAGAAAATTAGAGAAACAAAGAAATATTAGTTCAATCAACAAAACGTAAAATAATTTTGAGTCCACAAGTTACTTGTATGTCCTGGAGGAATTTAATCGTTCTCACTGTTGCCCAAGGTTTTGGATTAGTTCCACCCAGGATATAATGGAATAACTATTCTCTGATAGCGACAGTACAAATCACAGAACTTCAACGAACTCAACAAACGGAGCAAATCACACTTGATACTTATATTTATTTAGAAAATAATGCAACAATGTAGAAAAAAGAGGAAAAGTTTTCAGATTTTTCTGTGTATGAAAAATGAGGCCAAACCTCTAAATTTATAGACAAAGTAAGGGTGAGATGTAGAGGCGCAATCCAAAATGTGCCTCTTTCATTTCTCATTCACACTCTTTAGAAAAATCCCAACAGGTTGCATATAATATAACTTATCACTTATCAAGTTTTAGATTCGTTTCTCAAATGATCATATTTTAATGAGATTTTACGCAAATAGCCGACTTTGAACGAATTGAAAGATTTGTCTTCTACTTCCCTGAATTGAGAACCAACCTATCGACTATAGAATCCTCAAAAGAGTAAATGATCATTAGGAAGAAAAATTTATGAAAAATCAAAGTACAATAATGTATAGTTTAGCTCTCTCATTGAAGCTTTTCAACTAGGGATCTGATGCCCTCCATCTTTAACATATGAAACAAGAAATCAGCCCAAGAATCAATAGGACCAGGCAAGCACCAATGGACACAGTCATTTACCACATTTTCACTAGGCCAATGCCCATATTTACTTGGGTGACCATCTGGTCTCAACAACATTGCTTTTGTTGTATCCATCAATCTGAATCTCCTCCCCTTCATCTTCCCTTCCTTCTCTGCAATCTTAAACTCTTTGACTTGGATCCTATATTGCTCCAAGCTTTGACCTTCCGACGCGGTCTCATTACTTCTGAATGGCCTTGTCATTGCACAATCTCCTCCCTTATTCCAGTCCCCACCTTCATAATGAGAAGGTGCAAAAGTCCTAAGAATCGCTACACCCTTAAAATTTTCTACGTCGTTGATAGCTTTAAGAGCAGTTCTAAATGCCCTTTGGTAGGCATAGTTATGTGGGAGTTCAGTAACATTTGGCAATCCACAGTACTTGCAGCCGACTCGTTGGTTGTTTTCGTAGTAGACGCTGCACCGGGCAAACCAGTGGCCGGCGTTTAAGATGATGTAGTCATATCCCTCAATTAGGGTGGTCCATTTCTCATCGGCTTCATCTAGGTAAAGGTTATAGAGTCCAGTATGGCATGGACCATCTGCATCTATTTCTTTCGTTGAAACCAAAAATGGTGACCAATTCATTGCTAGGGTGAAGTTGTAAGTTGTGTATTTGTACTTTTTGAAAGATTGATCTGGATTGTCAGAAATATCAATAGGATATTCCACCTAAAAACACAAAAAAGAAGATCAGTTTTTTCATTACTTCTTGATTTTGCTTTTAGATTAGTCTAGCGCTAACTATGGCACATGAAGTAGAACGGTGTTTAGCAAAGCATCGGATTGTCCGGAGCAATTCCGGGCTTTTACTATAAAGAGTTGTATCTAAACCAAAAAATAATATTATCTCTATACTAATAGAACCTCATATTCATTGTTTATTTTTTCAAACCATATACATAGATTATACATTTATACACATAGATTGTACACAATTATAGACATATAGTACATAAATTATACATATATTATATCTCTATCGATTATTTTTAGTTTAAGCGGTTGGGTAAACCGGGTTAATTTTTCGCATAAGAACCATGGTCATGGTTGTTAATGATTTAGTCAAACAATCTCAAGGGCACAATTATCTTTTTTATGTTTATGCATTTCTAAGAATCAAGTTATGACCCCATTCTCTATCAATTTTTCATGATACATTATTTTAAGGGGAAAAGCTCCGTGGATCAAGTTAAATAGTCGTATTAGTATAATATTATTGGGAAAACAAGACACTTTCTGAGGATTAAAAAGCAATATGACAAATTTCACGCTGGCCCCCAATGTTCCTCCTATTGTATGCTTTTAGCCTTTTCTTTTCTTGTAGTACTAGTACCTTGTTATTTTAATTATTTGAGGGATGATTAATAATGAAATNATATATATATATAAATTTTAGTTTGACAGTGGTTTATGACTTAGACTGGCATCTCCGTTGAGCAGTTGCATGTGCCACGACGTCGTACTCTTTCATATCACATTTTATACTCACGACTCAACTCTCTTTCCATCGAAAATCATCAGTGAATGCAAAACTTCACATTTCCAGTCCTTCATCTTACTATTAATGGCCATATTCCCCGTTAAACCTATATTTTATTGTCTCATTTAAATGTTATATTTTTCTTTTTTATTTAGACAAGAGGAGTTGCTCTGATTGTAAACAACCTCCACTTCCAACTAAGAGGTTGTGAGTTCGAGTCTCCCCAAGAGCAAGGTGGGAAGTTCTTGGAGGGAAGGATGCCGAGTTTCTTTTTGGAAACGATTATACTGGGTTGTTGTTGTCGTATTTTTCTTTTTTATTTATTTTAAAATATATCACACAAGTAGTTTTTATTTAAAAAATAATTTAATTTTAACTTTTTAGTTTTATCATTTAAGTATTTATGTTTTGTTCAAAATCACAAATACATTTTATTTATTCTTTTTAAAATTTAATGTCCAATTAAACGCTGCCTCATAATTAGAAGGGAGGGAGTACATTGTACTATCGCTCAGTCACAACTTCATTCTGGAAATTAAAACACTAAAACTTCACCTAAATCTTGGAAAGTTCTAGCCTTAGGTAGACCAAATCTTCTATTAACCATAAATTATGCATTCAACAAGCTAAGCTGAGTGCATCCAACTAGCTAATCCAAGCTAAAGTTTTCACAAAACTAAGATAAACTATAACATAATAATGTAGAAGCAGTAATTCAGCACAGATCATCAAGTACTGCCTATGCAAATGGAAGAAAATAAAAAACTTAAGCAAAATTAATAAGAATTGCAGAGAAGAGAATGGTACCCGGCCCAAGAGGCAAATCAAGGACTGCATTTGGTTTCTTCCAACTGAGTCACCGACAATTGCCAAAGACTTGTTTCTAACCATATCCAAAAACTGAAACGGGTTAAAAATGTGGAGCTCACATCCATTAGGCTTCCACCTCCACTTCAAGTAATCAGTATCAGGTCTACCATACTTCATACAATTTTGGTGCTCATGGATTTCAGAACAGGTCACATTCGTGTAATATGGAGCATCCGGATTCCAAACCCATTCCCCACTGAAAATATCGCATGTTTCTGGCTCTTTAATCTTTATCTTATGCTCCTCAGCATGGTATGTGGGTGATATTTCAGATGGATTTTGGGTTACTAAATCTGCTGGGTACCAATTAAAGGGGTGGTAAAGAGGGATAAGACCCAGAACTGTAACTGCTAAAACTATAATAAGTATAAATATTCTTGGAGTTCTTTGAGCTGAAGTGGAGTATTTCCCAAAGGGAAGCTCCATTTCTGCGCGCTGCTTCAATGGAAGGTTGAAAAGGAAATTAGAAATGGGAGAAAGGAGAAAAAAAGTAAGCTGTTAAAAATACATAGTGCATGTAGTTAAGGAGGACCAGTTTGTACATGTACGTTGACTCTGTGAGTGTGCTAATCACATTATAATCCTAATTTTTCTTGGTACTAAGTACAATTCCTCCTTATTTAGTAACCATGGAGTGTGTTGTAATTCAACGAAAAAGTTCAAGTTTATCTCTAAATCTTACAAAATTAGTCATTTGTACCTTCCGTAGATCATTTAAACATATTAATCCAACGTTTAAAATATTACTCCCTCCTATTCACGATAAGTGACCAATTTGTTTTTTCATTTTGGTTTAAAATAAATGTCCAGTTATGTAATCAAGAAAGAATTCAATTTGTTTTTATAAAATAACCCCTATGTATATATCCCTAAAAAAAAATTTTACTCCTCATATTAAATGTTTAATTAGGGATAATTTAATCATAATAAGTATTTTTATATAATTTTTAATATTTTCTTAATGGACGTATTAAAAACAAATTGATCGCTTATTATGAAACGAAGGACTATTAAAAAGTTCCCACGGCCTAAACTAACTCACTTGTTATAAATGACTTTTAGCTCTGTGTCACGCTTCTGCGGATTTGTGAAATTCTAGGCAGCGAATGGGTTGAAGGAGAAAAAGTAGTGGTACAATATGCAATGGTGGTGGTACTAGAGATAGGGGGAAGAAAATTGTCGGTGAGTTTGGTGTCTCATAAATACCACTAGTGTTCTAAAACAATTATTTGGCATAACGTGTGGTGACGATTAGTTGTCTCCAGTAGAAAGTAGAAAGTAGAAAGTTTACAAATAAGGTGAACCAAACACTGAAATTTGATGGGCAAATACAAAATTGGTCAAAATTAATTGCATCCGCTGGTCAAAAATGTAACTGATAATATAAAAAATTGTATCCTCTATTTTCAGAAATATTCTTTTCCTGTAAGCTATAGGACTATGGCTTTGGCAAACTGGAATCATACTCGCAGGAGTGGAGTCTTGATCAAGTTGTTCAATAGCTGCAGCAACCATATACACTCTTTTGGTCTATGGCGAGAAATATCATCAGCTCTATAAAATTTCACAAGGCATTTTTTTTTTTTCACTTTCCGACAGTGCAATGGTTACATCTTCACATCAACCATAACCATCCAAGAAACAGAGTTCCTCTTTAAATCACAACAACAATTCTAAAATAATTGAACAAATAAAAAATCAGAGTACATTGTATTGTTTAGCTCTCATTGAAGCTTTTCCTCTAGGGATCTGGTGCCCTCCATCTTGATCATATGAAACAAGAAATCGGCCCACGAATCAATAGGACCAGGCAAGCACCAATGAACACAGTCATTGTACAATACCACATTCGCATTTGGCCAATGCCCATATTTACTTGGATGTCCATCTGGTCTCAATAACATTGCTTGTGTTGTGTCCATCAATCTGAATCTCTTCCCCTTCGTCTTCCCTTCTTTCTCTGCAGCCTTAAACTCTTCAACTTGGATCTGGTATTGCTCCAAGCTTTGACCATCCAACGCGGTCTCATTACTTCTGAACGGCCTTGTCCTTACACAATCCCCTCCACTATTCCAGTCCCCACCTTCAAAATGAGAAGGTGCAAAAGTCCTAAGAATCGCTACACCCTTAAAATTTTCCAAGTCATTGATGGCTTTAAGAGCAGTTCTGAATGCCCTTTGGTATGCATAGTTAAGTGGGAGTGCAGTGACATTTGGCAGTCCACAGTACCTGCAGCCAACTCGTTGGTTGTTCTCGTAGTAGACGCTAATCCGAGCAAACCAATGGCCGGCATTTAAGATGACATAGTCGTATCCTTCAATTTCGTTGGTCCATTTTTCGTCTGCTTCATCAAGGTAAAGGTTGAAGACTCCAGTATGGCTTGGACCATCTTTATCTGCTTCTTTCGTTGATACCAAAAATGGTGACCAATATGTTGCTAATGTAAAGTTGTAAGTTTTGTATCTTAACTTTTTGAAAGCTTGATCTGGATTATCAGATATATCCTCAGGATATTCCACCTGAAAGAAACCAGAAAATAAAGAAAAGCAGATCAAAATTTGTATTACTTCGTTGATCATTATCATTTGGAAACAGCCTCTCTGCCTTTCTAGGGTAGGGGTAAGACTGCGTATCTCCCATCCTCCCCAGGCCCTACTCGTGGAATTACACTAGATTTATTATTATTGTTTTTGATCATTCTCAATTTGATTTGTTTTTAGATTAGTTTAACGCTAATTATGAATTATGATACATGCAGTAGCATGTGAGGTGTTTGGCAAGAATCAGGTTGTTCCCAAAAATTCTGGGGCTTGCTATAAAGAGTTGTATCTAAAAAATAATAATAAATTAATTAACTAATATAAGAGCCATGGTCATAGTTGTTAATAATATAGTCAAACAAATCTCTAGAAGGGCACAATTATCTTTATATGTCTTGACATTTCTAAGAAGCAAGTTATGATCCCGCGTTACCCGGCTTGGATTCTCTAATAACTTGTCACCATACATTATTTTAAGATATATACTTTAATTGGTAAAGCTCTTTGGATCTAGCTAAATAGTCGTACTATAATATTGGGAACAAAAGCGACCTTGAGGATTAAAACTCAATATGTCAAATTTCACGCTGTCACTCAATGTTCCTCTAAGTATCTGATTTTCTTTTCCTGTATCCTTTTTTTATTTTTTTGAGGGACAATGAATTATTAAATGGTTAATGTGTTCTAATTTGATAGTGGTTTATGACTAGATTGGCATCTACTTTGCATAGTTAGATGTGATTAAACGACGTCGTAACATGCTCTATCACATTTTATAATCACGAGGTTGTGATTAGTCCAAGGCCCCCAACGCAATGAGTACAAAAATCTTACATTTCCAGTCCTCCGTTTTACTGTTAATAATCATTTTTCACACTAATCCTATAGTACATTGTACTACCTTTCGCAACTGCATTCCAGAAAAACAATACGCGCGTTGACCTATCAATGGCGTCTTCCACGAAAGTTCCACCTAAATCTTGAAAATTTCTAGCCTTAGATAAACAAATCCTCAATTAATCCTAAATTATGAACTCAACAACAAGCTAAGTACATCCTAGTTACTAATCCAAGCTAGAAGCAGTAATTCACCGCAGATCAGCAAGTACTATCTATGCAAATGGAAGTAAAAATAAGAAAATGTTTAAGCAAAATTAAGATGAATTGCAGAGAAGAAAATGGTACCCGGCCCAAGAGACAAATCAAAGACTGCATTTGATTTCTTCCAACTGAATCACCAACAAGCGCCAAAGACTTGTTTCTAACCATATCTAAAAACTGAAACGGGTTGAAAATGGGAAGCTCACAACCATTAGGCTTCCACCTATACTTCAAGTAATCAGAATCCGGTCTACCATACTTCATACAATTTTGGTGCTCATGGATCGCAAAACAGGTCATATTCGTATAATATGGACCATCCGGATTCCAAACCCATTCTCCACTGAAAATATCACATGTTTCTGGCTCTTTAATCTTTATTTTCTGCTCCTCCGCATGGTATGTAGCGGGTGAAATTTCAGATGGATATTGGGTTAATAAATCTGCTGGGTACCAATTAAATGGGTGATAAAGAGGGATGAGACCCAGAACTATAACTGCTAAAACTAAAAGTAAGAATATTTTTGGGGTTCTTTGAGTTGAAGTGGAGTATTTCCCAAAGGGAAGCTCCATTTTTGGGAGCTTTCTTCAATGGAGGGTTGAAAAGGAAAGTAGAGATGGGAGAAAGGAGCAGAAAAGCAAGTTGTTTAAAATACGTAGTGGATGTAATTAAAGGGGGACCAGCTGGCACATGTATGTTGACTCTGAGAACGTGCTAGTCCTATATTATAAGCTTAATTTTTCTTAATGTACTAATTAAGTACTAATTCCACCTTACTTAACAGCCATGATTTGGATCTTAATCACTGCATATCCATGATTTAAAACCAAATAAGTACACAATTTATTTATAGCACACCCATACAGAGTTCAAACTCAATATTTGGTGTATGCATGTATACAATCACTCTCTAGTCTAGACTATAGAGCTACTAGATACATCTCTATTAGAAAGTTATTAAGTGAATCAACCTGGTTCACATTCTTTTTAGGAAAACTATAGTTGTATCCGTGCGATACACGTTCAATACATAAATTTCAATTGTTATCTTATTTGTCAATATAATAGAAGATATATATATTTTATTACTGAAATTTAATGAATAAAATCTCTATTAAATCAATAGACTTATATAGGCATCTAATTATTAACTAAATTACTAATTATTAACTATTTATGTCATGTGCTTTTTTCTTGGCTGTTACTTGGCTTAAGAAGGGACTTTTTCTTCTCCTTTTAATAATATATAAATATAAATATTCAAATTAATTCTGATATTTGCAAAATTAGTTATTCATAACCTTCGTTAGATTAATTAATATACTAATCGAAAAGTTTAAAATAGTAAAAAGTTATTACAGCCTAAAACTACTCACGTGTCACAAATAACTTTTAGCTCTCTGTCACGCAGCTTCTGCTGATATGTGAAACCTAGGCAGAAAATAAACTAGACGGAGAATGGGAGGAAGGAGAATATGCAATGGTGTTAGTACTAGAATAAGGAGTGGAATCTTGTCGGTGAGTTTAAGTGGCTCATATGTGCATCTAGTGTTCTAAATCAATTTGGCATAATGAGTGGTGGCTGATTAGTTGTCGCCAGTAGATGGGTAATTGAGGACACGTTTTTATAATATATTTTTTTGGTCCCATCACATAGAAAAAAGAAAAAGAAAATTACTAGTCTGTTATAAAATAAAAGTAATTCAGTAAAATATAAATAAGAAGAGACAGAAAGAAGGAAGAACTCTTTTCTTCTTTCACTTTGGTGTATCTTTACTAAGGATGTCTAACGATGGGCCGGGCCAGACTGGGTAGGGAAAAATTGAAACCGTCCGGGTTTCGAACCGGGTCGGTTACGGTTTAGGGGTTACCGGGCTTAGCGGGTTCGAGTTCATCCTGGTAAAAAATAAACCGTAAGGGTTACGGGTACAAGGAGTCCGGCCGGGTTAGTGTTTTTTTGTTTGTTTTTTTTTTGTATTTTGTATAA